CTATTACATGTGTACGAACAATGGAAGCCACCAAACATTAAATAATTGAGCAGCAAATTTACAGTATTAGTCTGTTACTGGCACCCTGTTAAGAGCGCCATTGAATGTGTGTGTCTAAATGTGTACATAGTATTATACCACAGTATAAAGTAGGGTATTATTTACACTTGTAGTATCCATGGTGATGGAGGGATGCCAGCAGCCTGCTGAGTCAAGTACAGACACGGGTACTCCTGTGAATGGCCTACCATTGGTCTTGGCTGATCTGAGGTAGAGCCAGCAGCACACCAATGAATATGCTTGCTTTGCACTTCTGTACTACTGCGCAGAGCACAGAAAGTTTTCTGTGGAGCCCCATGAAGTAAGGGGAAATTTTGTGTCCAGGGAAAGATTCCATGGCTGTACAAGGCCCTTAGATATGGGTGGATATGAAGATCAACACATCATCTGGGCTTATTCCAGTATGTTGGAAATTTTTGAGCTAAAGCATTAAAAAGTGGGAAAGAGGCCCCATTTAAAAATATGTGATTTCTTGGAAAAGCAGCCATAAATATCATCAGCAGCCTGGAGGAAAAGAAATATATCAACGGTCCCAAATCATGAGAATGGGGGAAACCGTCTTGTTACAGAAAACAGGTCTCTATTTCCTAATGAACAACATTTGACAGTTTAAAGAACTGACAATAAAACACATGATTAAATGAGTGCCAGAAAGTGGTCTCGACCATAAAACCATACATTTAGTGGTCATTCTAGTTAATCCGTGGCAGTATTTATTGAGTTATAACATTGGAAGAGATGAATAAACATGGCTGAGACCAAGTGGGCTCAGGGGATTTTGTTTTTAAGGTAAGCTTTACCATATTTCCTCAAAAATCTTCACATGCTATAATTTTAAAGTATACTTTTGAGTTCAAAGTTAAACAATGTCTGAGGAAGATATGGAAGATTTAGCACTTGAGGTGGGCAAATAAAAACTATGTACCTATTTTTAATTAACTTAATTGCCCTAAGTACTGCAGACATCACTCAGTTCTGCAATTCTGTACTCACTGAATTGTTTTTTGCCCTTCAAGTGGTTAAGGATGCTTAGATCCTAAATGTTTTTATGGGCTGTGCATTATTAGCCCTTCCCCTAATCATGAAGCCAAGGAAAATCTAAGAGGCGTTGTTTATACAAAATGCAACAACTGTGATTTCTCTTCCAATTAAATGAACAACGATGCAGCAGAGTAGGTGTGAGGCCGTGATAACATCGTCTCCCTTCAGTTACTGTTCTGGAAAGAGCGATCTGACACTTGTCATTTTGTTCAATTGTATTAGCTCATAGTACATAATAACATCCTAGTCAGTGATAAATATAAAACAAAGCCTATTACTGAAGTGCATGCAGGGACCTATATGTACTTTGTCCAGTATGTATTACCAGTATCTCTGAAACCAGACTAAAGTATTCCCAAGAAATTCTTAATATATTAACATAATAGATTCCAAGTTTCCTGAAATGAGCCTGTCTTTTCTTTATACACACTTGCCAATGGTCAGAATCAGGAGGTGTTTTCTGAATACACGGTATTCAGTGCAGGGCGGGCCAGCGGTGGGCGGGCAAGCAGCAGACAGCCCCCCCCCCCGAGCACAGGGCGGCATGCAGCTCCCCCAGACCTCCCCAAGCACAGAGTGGGCAGCTCCAGCGCCTCCAGCCCTCCAGACCACAGCATGCTTTCCTGAGAGGAGCAGCCTGCCTGGGCTGGGGCCAAAGGGGAAGGGCAAGCAGGAGGGGGCTTCAGGGAGGAGCATAGGCGGGGCCATGCTGGGCTGTTTGGGGAGGCACAGCCTTCCCCAGCCTATGTGACACACTGCCCATGATCCCAAGCCATGAAGTGACATTGAGCAGCCTGTCCTGCAAGGCTTATATGCCCAGTTCCTGGCTTGTGGATTGGTTGGAGCCTAGCACAAGAATTGACTCATCAATGTATGTGACTTAATCAGGACCTAGTTCAGGGATGACTTATCACCTCACAGTACCAAGCCTATTAATGCTGTGTGTCAACCATTCCAATATTAACTAATGCAAAAAAAGTAAGTTCTCTATCAACCAAATGAACCCCCAAAACCAAACTCTCTCAGACATCCGCGTAGTAAAACCCAGAGCAAGCTAAAATAGCGAGAGCAAGCTAAAATAGTTAATTTATGTGGTTTATTTCCTTAAAAATGATTTAACCTAGCTAAATATATTATGCCTTTTTATCTATTTCCAAAACTCACCGTTGCTATTTTTTTCCTTCTATCTAAAAAGCTATTGGCCCTCCTGGTGTTGGTAGTAAGTAGTAGTGATTGTGTGTTTATTAAGCATTGTTTAAAATCCTTTGCACTTCTCCACAGCCTTTCATTCAAAGATTTCAAAGGGCTTTATCTCACCCAACATGCAGCAAGGTAGGTAAACATTTTGATCCCCATTTTAACAATAAGCAAATGAGATGTTAAGTGACAGCAAGTCAGTGGCAAGGCCAAGAATAGAACTTAGGAATCTTGGCTTCTAATACTTTGTTCTGAACAGCAGTACAATTAATTTTTATGTAGTTCTCTTATGCTTTCTATAGCTTTCAAGAATGGATTCTGGTTCTGGCCAGTGAGACCAGCCACGCAGGAGCAACACTGGCTCCAATACCTCCTAGGGTGGCTCATCTCTTCACAGGTAAGAGTGGGAAAAGTATACTGAACTGCCTTGTGCAATTTGAAAATCAACTCCAGCCTCTTTAGTAATCAGCTGTTGACCCCTGCTAAGGCCAAACAGAACTACAGCATTGCCCTAATCATGCTTCCACATCCATGGGAAGGCAGAGGTGAGGCTGATGAAGGTCAATGATTCATCTTTGTAACATCTAAGGGCTACATTGTACCCTGAACACTGCACTCCAGATCTTGGGAAAGTGCATGATCTCTGTTGAGTGTACAGCTGCCAACAGTCTCTGTGCCAAGCAGTTTATGTGAGCTACGTTCCACCATGCTGTAACCAGCATAGCTCTCACTTTCTGCATGGCTAATGTCCTGTGCTGTCAGATCTCTGGGAAGTTTACAAGGAATTTCATTTCAGATGTACAATATCTTTGAATACTATGCATTTAAAATGCAGATCTCTGACTGCTGCAACCCTACTTACAACTAATTTCACTTGTGTTCCTAGAGGCTGTACTGCTATATATTCACTAGAGACACACATTATGTCATTGCTGTTTGTGAAATGAAACCTAGACACCCGTATGTTGTGTATGAAGAGAATGCATGTGTATTGTTTTGGTTAGGTCTTTTAAACTGATCTGTGCACTTTTCAAACAGTAGGACCCTCCTTCATCTTGTGGTTTCCACCAGTGCACAAAGCCTTATGTAAAATCCTTTAATTGTCCTATTATTAATTATTATTTTATTGTATTAATTATGTTTATTATGGTAGTGCCTAAGGACCAACCAAGCATGGGGCCCCATTGTGCTATGCACTGTCCAAACAGAGAACAGTAGATGATTCCTGCCCCAAAGAGTTTATAATTTAAATAGACAAGATAGACACAGGGTGGGGGGAAAGGTCTAACACACAAGCAGAGTGAACAATGTAATGGCAGCAAATGTCATGTTAGTGCCACAATTTTAGGGGGAGGGTGTTTACTTAGGAGGGGATAAACTAAATAGAAAGAAAATGGAAGGGAGAGAAGACACTGAAGGGAAGGGGAGTGAGGGAGACAGGGCAGGTGGAGAGTGAAGCTGAGGCGAAGAGACTGAGGGAGGAAGAGTTGTGCAAACAGCCAGTCAGCGCAGGGCATAGAAAGTCCAGTCAAAACTGTAGAAAGTTCTCTTTCCAAAGGGAATGAGGGTTGCCATAAACAATGCTCAAAACAACACTGGTCAAAAAAAACAGCCCCCCAAAAGCGGGGAGGATGGGAGGAGGATTTGCATCCGTGCATCATAATGCTGGCTGAGATTTGAGACAAAATATCATTGTGCTGGGTGCGGGACATAGTCAAAGAAAAAAAATGCGGCCACAGAGAAAAGCAGAAAAAAAACCCACGCTACAAAAGTATGAAAAATCCCACCCAACTTCAAAACAAAAAATAAAAACAAATCCCAAGCCTAAAGTCACTTACTTACCGCTAGTTTGGCAACCTGCTCTCTGCAGTTTTCTCTCAAGGCCACATATTGGTGAGGGGTGGAGAGGGAGGCACCAGCTAGTCTTAGTGCCCCAAGTGTAAGGTGATCTTCTCTGTACAATTCTACATCCAGGTAGTATTGGGCAGGGGACAAAGGTGGTCTGAGATTGGCCCCATTTTACCCTTTCTTCCCAGAGCAGCAGTCCCTGCCTTGGCTGCGTCTGTTTACAGATGATGTTTGGAGCTGCAGCATTTAATGTGACCTAGGCAAACTGCTGTGAAAATTTACCAGTCCAGACACCAAATCTATCCCCACCCTTTATTTTTCCTCTGATGGCTGAAGATCATGAAAAATCTTAATATTGTATTTTCCCATCAAGAAAAAAAAAATTACTTGGACATAGTGAATGGAGTCTTGCAATGCTGATTTAGTAGCACATCAGTAAAGCAAAAGGCAAGTCACATATTAGTTGTTGGACTGTAGCAGATTGCATAGATGGACCATGCCACAGGCTAGGATTGGCTAGGAACTGTTGGAGTAACATGTTACAGCAAAAAAAGTGTGTGATATACATTTCCATTTCCTGCTGTGTGAGCCATAGGCCACAAAATGCTAAAGTCTTTACACTCGCTTTTTTGAAGCTATGGTGAGATTAGTTTACTTCAATATGTTTGACTAATGTGTATTTGGCATCCCCTACCAATGTCTGATCCACGGTGCAGAATGGGTACAATGGACGAGGAGATCTCCACATAGAAATTTGCCTTCATTTGGGATTTCCTCTCTGGATTGTAAAAAGGGCAAGATCATAGCTCTCTGAAAAGGATGGTTTTGCAAGAAGTATAAACAGCATCCATACAACAATAGAAATGAGTTTTATTTTGTAAAAAGTTATAAAATGAATATTGTACAAAAATAAAGTCTGTAGAGAACTTTGGTTGATTAACACTAATAACTGAGACATAAATTGTAGGTGAAGTAAAAACCTCCAGAGAATCATACTCCTGTTCTTGATGATAAGTTTTTTAAAAAATCACAAACTTTACCCTTTGTAGTTTGAACATAGTGACCTGCTATAATTAAAGCCTATTTAGGCTGTTGCTTGAGGCAAGCTGTCAACCATCAATGAAGTACCATAGCAAGTGATAAAGTACTTATCATTTCTGTGCTCAAAGCTAGCCTAAACTAACCACCGTGTTTCTGAGTTTTGACTCATCACACAGCCAGGATTGTACTATGCAAGTAATGCAGATGATGCTTTGACTGCTGTACGCTGCCCAACACAGTGGTTAATCCCCTGACCCAGCACAGCACTTAAACACGTGCTTAATGACTTCCATGGGACTATTCATGATCTTGAGTGCTTTGCTGGAGTCGGGCCTTAGACTCTAATCCTGCAATTGATTGCATGTGGTGGATTGCCATGCATTCAGAGCTCATGAAGATGACTGTGCTCACTTATCAATTGCAGGATTGGGACCTTAGTGAAGAAACTTGATTTAGGGCAAAATTCTCCTTTAAGCCACACGATGGTGGATCTTTGTGTGTTTTTTCCTTTCTTTCTTCCCCCGCAACCATGGGACCTTCCCCACTGGTATCAGTGCAGGTTCCATGTACTTAAAAGGAACAGAATAAGTATGGAGTCGTTACATGGATTGGATAAATTATGATCCTAACTGCTGCTGTTGTTCAGTAGATTCTTGGTTGGATATTGTTTTTGTGGGAGTCAAGTCTTCACTTCAGTTGTCTATTATGTCTAGTATAAACATACTTCTGCTAATCTTTAATAAATAAACCTCCAACTTCATAACTTGTGCTAATCCCTTTGATACATAACCTCCTTCACCTTAAAGCAGTATCTTAGATGAAAACTTAAAATGGTTTTTACTATGCCAGTTGAATCCTGTAATGTTTCAGAAAATTATACAAAACACTTTGGTTATTTAACAAAATAGTTTGTTTACCTTCAGTCTACATTAAATCCAGGACTAACTACAAAAAGGGATTTAACCTTTTCTATATGGAAATATGGAAAGAAAAAACAAATATAACATGAAATTAAAATGACAAAAGTGTGATTAATCTTCATTTGTCAATCATACTTGTGAGGTCAGTTGGCAGAAGAAGTGTTTGTGAGAAAAACTGCATCAACATTATAATATTACTATAATTACTTTTTCTAACAAATTGATAATAATGGCCCCCATTCTGCAACCTGCACTCATGTGGAGTGTCACTAACTCATTCGGGTAGTAATGGAGTTGCTCACATAAATGTTATTCAACATGAATATGGGTTGCAGACTTTGGCCCTCTATTTTGAGATTTTAAACAGGGTTTTGTTAAAAAAGGTAAAGTAAGTGATTTTTTGCTTTCAAGTTAACTGTTAATACTTTTAAAAGCATGGCCCCTTGTTCCCAGCTTAACTGTCTTTGTATCTTGCGAGCACATTCCACTTTGGCACCTTTGAAAAAAACTTTAATAAATAAGGAACGGAAACTCATTAGTGAACTGTAATAAATAACAATAACTTAAATCTCAATAAATATCTTCTGTATATTTATGTCTTTGAATGGATGCATTGCATCAAGTAGTCTGTTCACTCACAATGACCAAATATTAAAGGAGTTATGTAAGTGACATTAGTCCTTTGTAAACCAAAAGAAACACATTTTGCATTTGTGTAGGCCAGGCTCATTGTTTCTATTATTCTACTAGGAGTGAGTGCTTAAAAACACAACGTGTTTTCAGAGGTAATAGAAGAATTAAATCTGATACTTAACTGTTTTGAAGAAATGTGAGATGGAAATAGCCTAAATCAAACAATAAGTGAAACTGTTTTGTTTTGTGTTGATTTTCCCCGGATGAACTTTAGCTGATTAATTTTGACACTTGCCTGATTTAACCTTGCACATATACTATGTAATAAAAAAGTTATCTCCAGTGTTTTGGAATAATCTTTTAACAGGCAATATTAGGGTGTATATTGGAGTGAAGCAAATACCACTTAAGCTTACCATTATTAATGCTACCCCAGTTTTTATAACTAAACTTAATAAAAAATAAGAACAAGGCATGATATTTAATAGGTTGTGTTTTTAAGCACATTCCTAGCTGATTCAACTCTCGTTGATAGTGGACCATGTCAAATGAAATAGTGATAGCAACCTCCACCCATCCATTCTGAAACTCCACCCCTGAGCTTTGATGCCTTTTATTTGCTTTCCTGTAGAAATTAAAAGTTCCAACTTTTCTATCCTGTCCAGTTCTCTGTGCTGGATCTTGTCCTACCAGGCTCCCATGACATCTGTTTTCCTGCATCCTTGGTCCTCTTTCTCAGTTCTGAACAGACGTTTCCTTGGGAACCTTGGTCCTGTTCTTTGCATTGTAGTAGGAATGCAATATTGTATTAATCTCAAAAAAAAAAAAAAAATCAGACACATCCACATCTTTTAGCGGAATGTTTTTTCAATATATGGTAAACCAAGTTATCGTCCAAAAATGAAAGGTCATCATCATAGGCAATGGGTCTGCAGCAAGCTTGCCTCACTTTATCATTGACCAGCTTTTTCTTTCTGGTTAAATTTTTTAAAATTTTGTCATATGTGGTCTCGGCTGCATCACAAGATCCACTGCAGTACCGGAAAATCAGCTCTTCTTTGGTTTCATATCCCAAATCCAAGTCAGTCACATTTAAATGTATTTCTGTTAAGACACAACCTCGATTTTTGCCCTTTTGACCTCGCCGTCCCTTTTTACTGGAATTCTCTGTATTAACAGCTGCATTTTGCCGACTTCTCTCCCGTTTAGAAAAAATTGGAGTTTGTTTATCTGGTGACCTTCTGAGTCTTTTTATAGTGGCTTGAATAAAGTCCACTACATTGTCAAACTGATCTGGATAATCCTCTGGCATGTTAGCTATTTGAAAAAGAAAGAGAGAACAGGTTTTGTTAGAAGTGGATGGCCATTTTTATTTGTCCTAGATGTTTTAATCAAAGTCCACTAGAACTTGACCAATATTATAATTCAACAAAATGTCAGGCCTATGGAAGCTATTCTATCAGTTGTGTATTTCAAAAAGTATACATAGCAGGGTCCAAAAACTGGGAAAGAAAAATGTGACAAGGTATAAATGTTAGATAAGCAGACCTACTGTAGAAGGGTCACATAGACCTTCCTAGTCTACTGTAGATAAGGGTTCCCTCTGATTATCATTCTGATTAGAAAGACTAACAGTGGGTAAAGGATATGCTCCTGGAATGATGGCAATGGTAGAAAGGAGCTGTCTGTAGCTAACTGACTGGTCAAGTTGAGTTATTGCCCCTGGCTAAATGCTTGCTTTTTGATGTAGCTGAGGATATTATTATTAGAGCTGGTTGAAAATTTTCACGTGGAACAGTTTCTGTCAGAGAATAATTTGCCAAAATTGAAACATTTCACAGGAATGTATCAATTTTGTTAAAATTTTCATGGGAAATTATTGAAACATTTCATTTTGACTTTTATGTTCTGATATGCTATAATACACCTCTACCTCGATATAACGCTGTCCTCGGGAGCCAAAAAATCTTACCGCATTATAGGTGAAACCTTCAATGAACTTGCCCCCCCAGAGCACTGCTTTACCGCGTTATATCTGAATTTGTGTTATATCGGGTCACGGTGTACAATATATCAAAATGAAACATTTTGATAGGCTGAAACTAAATATTTTAGGAATATTTTATTTCATGAAAAATTCTGAGATTTCAACTTTTCATATCAATTGGAAACAAAACCAATTTTGAAATTCTGGCATTTCCAGTGGGATAGAAATTCTGACTTTCAACAAGCTCAAGTTATTATGCTGTAAGCTTAACTAAGTCTACATCTATACTGCAGCCAGGATCAATGCTCTGAGATCAATCCATTGGCAGTCGATTTAGCGGGTTTAATGAAGACCTGCCAAATTGACAGCAGATCGCTCTCCAGTCGACCCCCATACTCTACCCCCGATGAGAAGAGTAAGGTAAGTCGACGGGAGAGTTTCTCCCGTTCACCCCCCGCAGTAACTCGACCTAAGGTACGTCGACTCCAGCTACATTATTCTCAAAACTGGAGTAGCATAGCATGGGTAGACATAGCCTAAGTGAAGGGGTGACTGGAGCCATTGTATGGGCATCATTTTATTATTTAATCTAAACACATAAATATAGCACAGGAGTGAGAACTTTCTTGCCTCATGCACAGTGCCAGAACTTTAGTCATTGAAGGCATGCATCCTTTGCAAGGATCAGAAGGAAGATATCTGTGGATTCGCCTCTCAACAGCTGGATGACATGCAGGATGATAGGGGATTGTGTTGACAAAATCTTCACAGATGCCAGTGCAGACTGCCACCTGTGAAGTTGCTTTCAGAGGGTCAGATCCTTAAACACACACACAGCTGTACACTTCCTTCTCCAACACAGAACCACACCGTCACCACCAAGATGGTCCAGTGCTTAGATGGGATCAGTTCATGGATGAAGACCAACTGGTTGAAGCTAAAGCATGACAGAGGTGTTGCTGGTGGGCAGAGAAAAGCATTTTGAAGAGTTTGCAGCCACAGTGCAGTCTCCTTTGGTTGAAGATACACACCCACAATTGGTCAATTCAGTCCATAGTTTAAGCATGCTCCTGGGTGCCTCACTGACCCAAGCTCTCACATAACAGCATCTGTGAGTAATGCTTTCTACTGTCTCTGGTTGGCTAGGAGATTCCGTCCTGTCCTGGTGAATAATGCCTTGGCCTCAGTTATTCACACTTTATTCATCTCTTGGCTGGACTACAGCAATGCAATACATCTGGGCACAAAGACTTCAGCACTTAGGAAACTCCAACTAGTACAGAACGCTGCAGCACATCTCTTCCTCAACACAGGCTACCACAAACACACCAGACCTATCCTCCACTCTCCACACTGGCTCCCTACAGAATATGAATCAAGTTCACGTTCTTAGTCCTTATCTTCAAGGTACTCATTGACCTGGGCCCCAGGATATCTAACAAACTGCCTAAAGTGCCCAGATGAAGACCGTAGTTGACAACTTCACTCCTGTGGCACAATGGAACTCACTACAATAAAGTAAAGCTCATCTGTGCAGGAGACAGAGCTGTCTCTGGGGCCAGTCCAAGTCTGTGGAATGAACTCCTCCAGGAACTGACGACCATCCAAATCTTACCACCTTTCTCTGTAAGTGCAAGGTGCATTTCTTTGACCTGCCTTCTCTAACAGAAATACTTAGCAACATGTATATTTATATATTTTTAACACTCCTACCAAACAAGAATTCCACTGCATACACTTCTCCCCCTGGAGAGAGGATGAGAGAATAAACATGTGACAGATGTTAGGATGAAATTCAATAAGGACAAACGCAAAGTATTCCACTTAGGAAGGAAAGGGATCTGGGGGTCATAGTGGACTACAAGCTAGATATGAGTCAACAATGTAACCCTGTTGCAAAAAAAGTGAACATCATTCTGGGATGTATTAGCAGAAGTGCTGTAAGCAAGACATGAGAAGTAATTCTTCTGCTCTACTCTGCACTGATTAGGCCTCAACTGGAGTATTGTGTCCAGTTCTGGGCACCACATTTCAGGAAAGATGTGGACAAATTGGAGAAAGTCCAGAGAACAGCAAAAAAATGATTAAAAGTCTAGAAAACATGACCTATGAGGGAAGATTGAAAAAATTGGGTTTGTTTAGTCTGGAAAAGAGAAGACAGAGGGACGTAACAGTTTTCAAGTACATAAAAAGTTATTACAAGGAGGAGGGAGAAAAATTGTTCTTCTTAACCGGTGAGGATAGAACAAGAAGCAATGGGCTTAAATTGCAGCAAGGGAAGTTTAGGTTAGACATCAGGAAAAACTTCCTAATTGTCAAGGTGGTTAAGCACTGGAATAAATTGTCTAGGGAGGTTGTGGAATCTCCATCATTGGAGATTTTTAAGAGCAGGTCACCTTTCAGGGATGGTCTAGATAATACTTAGTCCTGCCATGAGTGCAGGCAACTGGACTAGATGACCTCTTAAGCTCTCTTCCAGTCCTATGATTCTGTTAGTTATGTTGCTTAATGCACAACTGGAAGGTGCGCAGATATTATGGTGGTGAACGAGGTACAAGAATTTATATAGACTAGAACATACATACACAGAGCCTGAGTAAAAGGGCTATGCATGGGGGAAATATGTGGGCATTTATGCTCTTAAAAATCCTCCTTCCAAGCTCAAAGTATGGTGTAGGGCTTCTGTGTATCTGGTTTGCAGTCTCACCTACAGTCTATATGCAGGAGAAAGGACCATCCAATTCAACAGGCCCCTGTATGTGAGGCTTGTGGTAACAGAATCAGCAGTGTTGCGAACCCTGCAAGTTCAAAAATGATGACTCCAAAAATCATGAAATTTACTTAAAAATCATGAGATTTATTTTATTTTTACATCACATTTCTGAGGCCTGTTTTCTGATTTTTGAACTTATGGTGGGAATTACTTGTGTGTATGCATGTGCACAGCATGTACATTTTATCGAACTTACTCTGAAACACAAAAATAAACACAACGGTGGGGGTGGTGTTGAACATATCCTGCTTCCCTTTACTGCTGGAGGGCCTCATGCCACCTCTCCCTGGGCAGACTCCCCTAAACCCTCCCTGCTCCTGCCCTGGAAACTTTCAGTAGCTCTTTACCCTGGACACTATCCCCTTCTCTCCACTCAGGTGCTGCCCCTGACCAGCTCCCTCCCACTCAGCTCCTTCCATCCAATGGGTTCAATCCCCTGCCTGCTCTGTCCCTCCTCTGGACATGTGCCCGCCCAGCTGCCCCCACCCTCACCACCATCCCAGGACAATGTCCCTTCCTCTCTCCTACCCCCATATAAGGAGCCCAATGCAGTGGATGGACTGCAGCGTGCAGCATTTTGTAGGGGAGTGAAAGGGGCAGGGAGCAGGTGCTGCCCCCGAGCACTCTCCCTGCAGCTTCTCCTGCCCACATGGGCTACTGCTTCTCAGCTCTGCCCAGGCAGAGCAGCCTCTGTTGGAGGCAGCTGGAACTGCAGTCCAACTCATACAGCTAGGGCTGCCAACAGCAGTATTAGTGGGTGACGCTAAAGCTGCAGCATCAGTCCTGAGTTGGATCCCCAAAAATCATAAGCGGTGGGTTCATTTTATTTGCCTTTTGTTTTTTGAGACTTTGAGGTACACTCAGGCAATGCTTTTACCACAACCATTAGGGTAAGTTTTAGAAATGTACTTATTTTTGTTTAAATGAAGCCTGAGATTTTCATCTAATCACTTGTCTTCAGGAGCTGGGGCTTTAACATATACATCAGATACCATGAGACTCATGATAAAGTTGTGAGAGTTGGCCACACTGATAGCCACACATTCCCTCAGCCAAACAACAATGGCCCCACTCATTTTCCTATATAGAGAGCCACCAAAGAGTTCTGCTCCATGGCTCTCAGAGGATCATCATGTTCTCTGGGCAAGTTCTCCACTACATTCCCCAAGTCTGCATTTCTAGTTGATTTGAGGCATCAAGTGCCAGAGAGGATTGTATTTGGCGATGAGCCCCTTTTAAGAAACAATTTATACTGCATACAAGAAGAATGTATAAATAAAGTAGGTCCAAATGTCATTTTGGAACAGCAGACTCCAACACGGCCATGTTCCAAAGAAGACAGAAACTAAATTGCCCCATCTGTCTTTAATGGGAAACTATCAGAGCAAATCTGGCACAAAATTTAGGTTTTATAAAGCTAATCTTTTAATTCCACTGTCAACAGATTTTTTTTGAAAACATTCCCCTGCAGTGGTGACAACCCAGACAAGAGTATTAGTACAAGAAACCCTCAAAGCAAAAGTGACCAGAAATTGATTTCATTGGGAGAAGCTGGAT